AACAGCTGGCCAGCTAGAATCATTGATTAGTCATTCATGTGTTTTGCTTCTAAAGGAGATTCTTCAAGTTCAAACCTTGACGTTAACTACTTAAGTGATAAGAGATTTCGATAGATTATTGTTAAATTTGAACCAACATGGACAACATGTTCTCCTTTAATACCTAAAATAAGAAAGAAATCCAAACAGCTAAACTTACTGATAGAGGGCAATTTAGCTGTGATTAAATGTTTTTCCCCTTATCATTGATTTTTTTTTTTAATGCAGTCAAGGTATCTCTTGATTTACTTAATTTTCTCATCGGCTGATTTTGAAGGCATAATTTAAACTTCAATTTGGTGTAATAATAATTTTATTCTCGAAATATTTCTCCCACAAATTAAATTTTGGTTGATAAGAAAAGAAAACTCCTTTCTCTATCAACCAAACTAATTTTGTGGGTTATTGTTGATTCCGTTTATATAATTGTTTTATTTTTAACAAATATATAAGAAAATCTAACAAGCCAATATTCATATAATTTGTTGGTAGATTGTCGAATTTTTATTTTATTGATAAAAAATTAAATTATGAAAATCTCAAAAAATGAAAAAGTTCAATAAGAAAATATCTTGAATCTTATCCCTCCTAATCAAAATAATAACCATTGTCAAATTATAAAGTGTTCGAAATTATACTTATGCGAATAGTTTGAATACAATATAATATATCTTAGTTCGTCTCTAAAGATTTAGATTATTTATAGGCATTATTACCATTATTTCTACCACTATTTTTTAACTAGTTGTCTCGATCATAAAAAATTTTGGCTAAATGGTACAATGGAGCAGCTTTTTCAGGATCAAAATAGACCGGCTCATCTACAGCTTGAGTCATTAACTCTGATGCAAACTTCTTGGCATTGTCAAGCCGCATCAGCTTGGGATAAGTGCCTTATCACTTTCCAAATCCTTCCCTGCTGTCTTCCAAGCTCTTCGGAAGACGTGGTCACATCCAAAGTGTCATCCACAACCAGAAACAGTAGCCCTATTAATCTAGCAAAATTTCTAACTCTTTCAATATCAGCCTCATTTCCTCCTCCAATTATAGCTCCACAGACAACCGATACCTCTAAAAGCTCGACAGTTTATTGCGAATGAATGAATTCTAGCACCTTCAAACTAACCTCATTTCCTACACTTTTTAGATCAACAATTTGGCCTCCGACTAGCCCTTCTGATCCAACTGCTGACTCTAGCTCAGCAGCTGCTCGAACCACTTGGTCAGGTGAAACATTCAGTCTTTCAAGCTACATGTTCAAAGGCAAGGGAGAGAAGAGTATCACCGGCTAGAATAGCAGTTTCTTCCTCGAAAACCTTGCGGTTAGTAGGCTTTCTGCGACGAAGATCATCGTTGTCCATACAAGGAAGATCATCGTGGATCAATGACATTGTGTGAACCATCTCCACCGCACACGCCATTGGCATTTCTAGGGTCTCATCTCCTCCCACTAATTCACATGAAGCAATACAAATAACAGGACGAATGCGTTTGCCACAGGCTAGAAGGGAATACCTCATTGCTTCATGAATTTGCATTGGATATTTCAAAGGGATTGCCTTAATCAGAGCTGTTAACTTGTCTTGCCTTGTCTGCCATGTACTCTTCAAAGTTAAAAACAGAGAGTGGATCAGAGTTGGACATCCAGTAGTCTTTGGCTAGGAAAAATGGTTGTCCTGAAGATGATTTTGCAATCTGGCTAGACTGAATTTTCTTGGGAAGAAGCTTAATTTGAGAATATGGGAAATTTTTCAAAGGATTTTCAATGGAGAATTTAAGGATAGAAGAGGTTTCAGGATTTAGGATGATTGCAGAAAATGCCATTGGAATTTGGTTTGGTGAATGAAGGCCGCTGCTAGCGTATTTGTACTTACAGTGAATAAGTTAAATATACTTATATTCTGCTAATGTCAGATAAAGAAAGCATTTTCACTAATTTAGGAACATTTTTCACCCTTCTTGAGTCTGAGAGGGAAGGAAGGAGGCTGCGCTGATGCCACTCTTTGGTCATGTGTCTGGTTAGGTTGATGGGTTTTTAAATAGTTCCTTGGCATGTTTGCATTAATATTTGTACGTTTAACAAAAATAATCACTTCAGCTTTTGCAGACAGTTTCTTTGTCATGTTTAATTATCTAAGAAGACTAGTTGAGCACTTGTGCTTTGCTTTGCTCACCTTTTGAAGGTAACACTTGCTGGAATAATTTATCTTACTTTGCTATGTCTACCTCTCTTACCTTGTAGAAATTGCCATGCGATTCCGTTCTTATTTATTATTGTTGTTATTATGACCTTGGTGCTAAGTCTAAAGGACTGAAAGCAGCAACATATTGTAACTGCCCAGCAAAGTTTCCTTGGTGAATCAATCTCACTTTCTTTTGTTAAGCTGACTCGCTCGAGCAATCCTCTAGCTAGCTCAGATGAGTTGTTGGGCAAGAACTAGAATATGAAACGTAATGAAGTAGAAATTTTGGTTCTAGTTTCTTGGTCTTTATTGACCAGCAGAGAAAGTTCAGAGCAAAATTTGCATGGGGCTGCTCTTTGGTTTTGTTACTTGTTTGATAAGGAAGTGAAGTTCTTGCGTGGATGCCCCAATGATGGCCTTAAATAAATAAGAAATGGCATTAACGATTGTATCATTGTTGTATGTTTTGAGTGAACGACTTTCAGAAATTGGTGAATGGGGAGCAGCAATCAAATCATGGTTATGAGATGAAGAAACTAAAGTGGAAGTTGAAATTTGGATAACATAGAGCAGCAAGTAGTGTTCAAAGATGTGAGAGGATTTTCAATAAATATTAAATCACAATTTATCTTTTCTTTTTCAATTTAATGGCAATTCCATATATATATATATATATATATACTTAATAAAATTTTGTTTTTTGTCAAATAATTTTATTTAATAAATTATTTAAATTTAATATTTTTAGATAAGTTAATAAATTATTGACTAGAAAGTATGTATTTTTAAAATAATAAAAGTTTACATCTTTATATGAAAACATGAGACATTTGAATGTTGATAAAAAAATTAGATAAAAATATATTTTTGCTTTGAAAACAAATTAATGTTTTATTTATGTTCTAATTCAAATATTTTTATATTATATATTTGGTTAATTTATTTATTTCTCTTTAGTCCATAACTTTTTTTTATAATTTTGCTTAGATTGATTATAATTAACTTTTAGGATTATATAATTTTTTGTTTTATTTATTTCTTCAATGTTTTTATTCTCTGTTAATTTATTAATATATTTGCTTTTATTATTATATATATTTAATTTTGATAAATTAATATATAAAATTATATTCTCTATTTACTTTTACTATACTTTTTATTATTAAATTTTTTTTGTTTACAATGGATATATGAGAAGAATGATGATCACTGCTATATCTAACTCCCAAAAATATATCAATTATGTTAAAAATGATTAAAAAAATATTTCAAAAAATAGTTTTTAAGCATAACATAAAGAATTATTGTTTCTCTTTTATCTAAAAAATAACTTTATTTTATAGACATATATAAAAATAATTGTTAGCCCAATATATTTTTATAATAATTACTTGAAGTATATCAAAAATAAAAACTAATAAAAAGCAAATGATTATAATAAAATTAATAATTGTGATTTGTTGTTCAATCAAATACATATATGTATATACACACACACCACCTAATTAATATTATGATAAAAATAATTATTAATTTTAACTATTTAAATATTGATTCTTGATTTTTTTATCAAACAAGAAAAAAACGATAACAAAACTTTTAGTATTTAGCAAATAAATTGAAAAAAATATTTTTTAATGAAATTTTTTTTTATAATTCTTGAAAATTTACAAAAATTTAAACTTCTTTTAGATGAATAATATCATTTATAATATATTATGTATAATTTATCATTTAATTGTAACTTAACATTTATAAATATATGATTATATATTAGATAAATAATTAAAAATAAATTTAAAATTATGAAAAATTTAATAAAAAATCCCGTACATTATAGGGTTTAAAAAGCTAGTTTAACAAAATAAACCAAACTAACAAACCAATATATATCTGGACAAATCAAACATAAAATTAAAGTAAACTTATATATAATAGATTTAAACATAAAATTTCAAAATTTCAAGACCTCCTCCTTTGATACTAAACTAAAATCTTATTGGCATTACTACGCATCAAGGTGTCTAAAATTATAATGTATGTTTATTTTCAAAGTTACCGTATTTTTTTTTCTTTATTTAGAGAATCAAATAGCATAGGATTACTTGTTGTTTCTTTCAAAAAAACAAAAAAAAAGACAATAAGTAAGTTGCTTCAATCCTTCTGTTATATCATATATGTATATACAGATTTTCCACTGGGAAGATTTACATTTTGAATAATGCAAACAAGAAGTAATCATACTTGAATCCATAATTATAAACTTCTTTATGATCAACGCAAACAAATTTCTTGATTGAATTTTTTTTTCATAAAGAGATATTGTTGTTTAATTCAACACAATCCATCTTTATTTTTTTAATTATCATCAAAGTAATTTTAAGTTTTATCTAAATTTAGTGTTTTTTATAAATATTTAAGAGCATATTTTTTCACATTAGCGTGTTCATTTTTGAAATATTCTTATGTGATTTGATCTTGATTAATACCTCATCTATTTAATTATTAACTAAATTTACACTTGATTTTAATTTAAAATTAAGTTAAATATAATAGTAAAAGTTTCTTCTCTTGTATTAAAAAAAAAAAAAGAAAAAGGTTTCCAAGCTTAAAATAGCTAATTCACCCATCAACCCCATTTTAAGGCTCAAGCCAATTCAACCCTCTCTATTCACAGTCAAATCCTGAAACTTGACCAGGCACCCACCATCACCCTAATCATAAATAAGGTTAACCCCACCCTCGCCCTCACCTTCGCCTCCCCAAAAGAAAGAAGCCATGGACTCCACCCCACTCCTTCCCCAACCCCAACCCCAACCCCAACCCCAACCCCACCCCCTTAAACCCTCTGCCTCCAAACTCCCCATCAAACGCAAAACCCCTTTTCCCCAACACCCCTCCAAACTTGAACCCCAGCCCCCACCCCAACTCCTTACTTTTGATGGCTCACCACTCAAACCCAAACCCAAAACCCCACCTTTCAAATTCCACCGAGTCTGGACCGAGCCTGACGAGATCAGCTTCCTCCAAGGCCTTCTCCAATCTCGTTCACTCTCCTTTCCCAAAGACCTTCCCATTTTTTACTCCAACTTTTCCAACTCCATCTCCCGATCTTACACCAAGTCCCAACTCTCCGAAAAGCTTAGACGGCTCCGGAAAAAGTTCCGGGTCATTTCCTCTAGGCTGGCTCGAGGGCTCAACGCATCTTCTCTCTCTGCTCATGATCTAGCTTTGTTTGATCTTTCTAAAAGGCTTTGGAGTCCTGAGTTTGCTTCCACTTCCCCTTTTGGTAACAACTCTTCCGGCTTTAATCATGGGTTTTCTCAAGATCATCAGAACAATGGCATCGATGTGAATTATTTTGATGATTCTAATATGATAGGTAATGATGGGGAAGTGAAGATTAATGAGGATTTTCGTGGTGGAAGAGATGAGGGGTTTCATGGCGAGGCAATTGATCTGGTCGTGGCGAAAAGTGTGTTGGAGGTGTTTGATGAGTGTTTCAAAGAGGTAAGGTTGGTTTTCGAGAAGCAAGGTGTGGTTTGGATGGATACAATGGAGAGGAGGTGGAAGGAGCAAAAGGCTTCGGAGTTGGACTTGTTGGGAAGGCGGTTGAGGTTGGTCATTGAGAATTCTCTGAGTAGGCGATGAGTATTTCTAAAAATGGTGGAAATTTGCACATCAGTTGAGCAATGTAGATAAATTTTCAGGTTGGTTTACTTTTCAATGTATTTTTCATATTGGAGTTTTAAGTTAATAAAAATTTGATCTTTTACACGGTATACTTGTGAAGTTGTGAATGATAGATTCTGTTTGTTGAATGCTTGAAATGTTAATTAAGTTTCTGTGAATTCAATAGTTATTGTTATGAGCAACTTGGGAATTACTTGTTAAGCGGTATGAACAGATTGTTTGATAGGAACATCTAAAAGTTTCACTTAAATAATTGCAAATTTGATGTTTTACTGTGGAGCCCTTTGAACATTAGATGTATTGTGAATGGATTCTAGTACACTCATCAAAGTCTGATGTTAGGGAATTGGTGCTAAAAAAGGGAGGGAATGTAGAGAGTAGAGAGAAAATTAAGGAGGAACAAAATCAATTAAGTTGTGTTTGCTTCATCTGGCTGGCAACATCTGTGTTCTCAACTTCAAAAAACCTAGTTGTTGAATAACCAACTCTTTAGGTCCGCAATTTTAACCTCTCAGTTCTTCAATGTTTTTGCATTACGAAATTATAACATCAATTTCCATTGGAATTGCTTCATGCATGTTGGAGGAACACCATCAGGGTCTTGAGGTTGTAACTTGTAATTATAAAGGAAGTTGAAGATGTTTGCATTTTTTCCTTTGATCTTGCCTATACTGAACTCTCCGTTCTTCATGTGTTTTTGACTCTCAAGTGGTGTAAGTTTTAAGATCACAGTACTTATAAAATGTTGAAGAACGAGGATTCTTAGTACTCTACAATTTTTTTCCAAGAACTCATTTAAGTGCTCAGAGACTTTACAAGTATTATCTTCTAAATTCTGAATTAGTTTCAAAGTAATCGTGCATGTTTTAAAACCTCAAAATAAAAAAGGAAATTTGACTTTTAGAGGCTAAATCTTGCGAAAACAAATCTCAAAATTAAAGAAGAAAGACTTGTGCCAAAATTCTGACATGGCATGTAATGTGGAGGATGGTTCAAGTGATATGATGAAGTCAATGTAGTGATTTCAGCAGGGCAATTCTGGTGCTTGAAGAACATGTAGGCCTGTGGAGCTGAATGTGAATCACACCTCTAAACATTTTGCCCGTGTGTCCGTTGAGAAAATTAGGAGGCGAAACTTAGCAAACCAACGGGTCAGCTCTGCCTGTCAGAAAATGATGCGACAGGGTCAATTTTTTCTATTGGAACAGTTTTGAAAAGTAGTCAGGAAATGGGTTTCGTTGGTTTTCCAAGGTTAAAGATTCAAATATCAGAAGCTAGATAAGATCCTGTTTTGATTCCAATTGATGCAAAAGAAGACGGAGAAAGATAGTTAAAGTTGAGAATAGAGAGACTTTATGGGAGTTTTGATGTCACAAAGCTTTGCTGCTCAATATGGGATGCCTTCACCACCTGCTGGTCAGATGATATCTTCTTTGTTCTTTCTATGCACTGTATATCACATAATAAGTTCTTATTGGTGGGATGAAAGAAAAAAAACCGACTCGAACTAGGTAATTGAAACTCAAAACGGTCCAAATTCAATGATTTAAATTCCATTTGATCCAAAATGACCCTATCCGAAATGACATGATTTAAACCCGATCCACTCATTTGACATGTCTAATGGAAGGGATGCAGAGAATAGTCCATAAGCAGTTTGTCATGGCTTGGGTAGAGCTCTTGATCTAATAAATAACGCAAAAGGAAGGTGACCATGTTCTCCACTTTGACTTTTATGATATGAGCAAATTTTAATGCCAACCATTTTAACTATTGTGTGGGATCCAAGAAGCTTTAATATAGGAAAGGCCTGAATGTCATTAATGAAACTAACTCAAAATGTTTTGTTTAGTCAGCAATATGTTTGTTTCTAAGCAAGGCATGGGCAACTTTCTTCACATTAATCACAATTAAGAGCTGGCTTGTTTGACTAGATGGCACGGTGCGCTGGTAAAATCTCCTAGTTCCCATAAAAACTAGGGGTTTGATGCGGTGAGAAGGCCCTCACTACATCATGACACTGAATCAAACGAACTATAAATGGGTTAAAACAAGTTTATCAGTTTCGTGATCCCTTTCATCCAAACTTTTTTGTTTTTTCAAAATCATCCTATGATCCGGATTGAGAGTTTAGATGACATTACCCTACAAAGAATGTATTCTTACCAAAGCCAAGAGGATATTTCATGATCTCTGTCCCAAAAGTTTAATTCATTTGTTTCTTTTTACAATTTTGTTACCCTCAATTTCTTTTCTGTTTATACTAAGACATTTTAAACGTTTTAAAATTTATTGTCCTATCTTGTTTTATTCAATCTATTGTCTTGTTTTAAAAACCAGATAATTGGGTATTTTGTTTTTTCCTTTTCAGCAACTTTGTGAAAGAAAATGTACTTTAAAATCATGTATTGCAACCTGTTTCACATAATTCCCAAATGGCCAATGGATTTGAATAATGCTTGTTTATATTTATTAATACATAAAAGTTTTACATTATTTATTTAATACAAAGAAAATAATATTATGATCAAAACTTAAAATCTTTATGCAAATAATATCCTAGTTTCATTAGCTTAAATGAGGTAGAATTTTTGGGTAAAGATTTTGTATATCTAGTAATTCGTGTTATTATGTCTTGTAAAATATTATATTCGTATTTTATTTTATATAAAAATTATGTATTATAATTTATATGAATTTAAAAATATAAAATATAATTTTTTTAATTTTATTAAATATATTTATAGTCTTTATAAAATTTTAAGTCATATTATTTTCATATCATTTATTCATATTATTTTCGTATCGTATCATATCATCATGTTATATTTTAAATTATTAAGATCTTATATATTACTTTTTCATTCATTATTTTTTATAATAAATTCATTATTATTATTTATGTGTAAGATTTACTCATAAATTTTGAAAGTTATACCGGTAAATAGTGAATAAAGTTGTATAATAAAATAATGAATCAAAATATAATAATGGGAAATCGGATCCAAACTTTTTATATTGTGTACGTGCAAACAATAAGTTTTTATATATAAAAAAAAAGAAGTCGATATCTTCCATTGATTTTGTGCATATCACTTTCACCAACCACCGGCCTCCGTTCGTAATAATCAGAGAAAATTATGCCGTGATCTTCAAAATTATCTATCTTTAACCAATACCCACTTATTAGGCCCTGATTTTAAGAAATGACAATCATATCTGAAGATCGGACGGATCCTATGTAGGTTTGGTTTATGTAATCAGATAAAATATTGTGGGTCCTACTAGTCAAATGATGATTAGTGATGGAATCGAAGTGTTTGTTAGACTAACAAGATATCAAATGTGGCCACTGTGCGTCCCAATACAAGGGAAAATTATCCTCGTTCATATCGGATATTTTCGTATTCCTCTTTTGTCCTTCTTATGTCCTCGAATTACAGCTTAAAATTAGAAAAAACAATGTAAGTGAGCTGAAATAGATTCAGTCAAAAAATAATTTTTTAATCATATTATTTTATTATACATTATAAGTATCCAATACAATTCATAGATACCTTTATTTTACTATTAATAAATATACATGATAAGATAATTTGACTCACCTTCTTTTAGTTTATCTATTTTCCCATCTCTTTATTAATTTCATTTCAAAAAATTAATTGATGTTAACTTGTTATATTTCACTTATTCGATCTTATAGGTTAACAATTTTACCTTTTTATTTTTTGTGGACCCTTTCTTTTACTTTCATTTTCTATTTTTTTTAAGATTTCATTAAACTAATATTTTTATTAGTTATTATTTATTTTTTTACTTTTTACTTTTAGAAATGTAAAAAATAAATAATAAAAATGCCAACCATACAAAATTCCACTATTTGACTCACACTTGCACGTCAAAAAATCAACAGATGTTAAACTTTAATTTTTTTTTTCACAATCTTCTATTCTGTAAGTCAATGGTCAAACATTTATATTAATAGTTTTTTTGAAAAATTAAAATGGGATAGTTTGACTAAAAAAAATCGGTGAAAAATTTTTGAAAAATTCAAAAATTAATTTCAAATTATAATATTTAATTTAATTTAAATCGATTTTTTTATTTAATTCGAATTAAATTTAAATATTAAATACATATAATAGATTTAGATAGAATTTTGAATTAAAAGATCAAAAATAAAAAAAAATTAAATCAAATCAAATCGAATTATATATATATTTTAGTTTATATATATATATATTTAATTTTTATAAAATAAAAATAAAAATTTTATATCAAAATCTACTTAAATATATTAAAATTTTATATTAAAAGAATATATAAAAATTAAAAAAATTAAAAATTAGTAAATCAAATTAAACCAAATAATTAAAATTTGATTTAACTTAAATGAAAATTCGATTTAAATTCGAGCCAAATTTTAAATTTTTATAATATTATATAATATTTAAAAAATTAAATCGAATTAAATATGATTCAAATTAAATTGATATCACTTTTAATTTTTTTTAATTTAAAAATGGACAAATGATGTTTGAAAATATAAAAGAAAAAATGATATACTATTTACTCCTTTGCTTATATTTTTACCTAAACTACGTGTTTCAATTTTTTTAAGAAAATTCAAGAAATCAGAGTGAAAAAAGAAAAAAAACCAAACAAAAATCTCTAATCCCAAACGGATAATGGCAATCCTGTAATAATCTAAATTCAGAAGGTCAAATCAGGCTTAATAAAAAACAAAACAGAGATCCACGTGCCTATTTTAACATACAGTCTTCTTCCTTCTTCCGGTTCAAAACCCGCCTTCTCTCTCCTCCCGCCTTATATCTTCCCCCGATCTGTCTCGTTTCAGTCTTCTCTGACCAATTTTCCGTCGTTTTAACCCGCCCCAAAAAATAAAAGAAAAAAAGAAAAAATATTGTATGATGGACGAAAATTCAGCTATGATTGAGCAAATTCTCAAAGAAGTTGAAAACGAGAATGGAAAAAACGACGACTTTAACGGATGGAAGACGGTGTCGTATTCGAAACGGAAGCGGAAACCGGCGAAGCCTCCTCCGTCGGAGAGTTTTTTCTGTTGATTATCCCAATGGCGGCGTATCCTCCGACGTCTTCCGCTCCATCGAAGAACATTCTGAGGTTCGCCGTCGTCGCGCCGCCGATGTTGCGGCGGCTGTTTCTTCCCCTGCCACTAACGGATCGAAGTCCGACGAGGAAGATGATAGTGACACCGGTGGTGCTGCCGAGAACGGTGCAGTGGAGATTAAGATGGTGAAGCAGAAGAAGCCGAAGAAACCGAAGGTGACTGTGGTGGAAGCTGCTTCGAAGATCGACGCTGATGATCTTAGCGCTTTTCTTATTGATATAACTGTGAGTAATATCTAAAATAAATAAAAAAAAACCTTAATTTACATTTTTTTTTTGTTTTATTAATTTTGAGTGATCTGAATCTGATTCTTAATT